ATCTAACTCAGGGCTTTCATTGAGCACCTTTTCTTTCTCTCCTTCTATTCCTTTGAAAAGCAGGAGGTGAAAATAGCATGATACTTTTCACTTAGAAATATTAGTCACTCTCTGCATCAAAAATTCTATCCATGGAGTTGTAGCTTCAACTTCTGCTATTGCTCACCACCACTGATTCAGGCTAAGGGCTTTATTTATCAAAAAAGAAAAGAAAAAAAAAAAAACCTTTAGAAATTTCCCATCACTGTTCCAGTAGCAGGCAAGATTTTGCATGACTTTATGTCATGACTATGAGAATACTTCAGAACGAAGTAGCAATGGGACATCACTAAGCGACCTGGGATAGAAAAATCCATAGGATGGGATTAATTTCCCCTGAGTTTACTGATCTGAAGTCAGACGCATACTACAGGTCTGTAGCACCTGGTGGGAGGTGGCTGCTGTCAGAGGGTGACTCCGCATGAAGATGGGTGGGTGAACCTGCTTTGCTGGCAACAGCAGAAAGCAGGTGATGCTCTCCAGTTGTGTGCCACCCCAAGCTGGCTGCCCATAAAGTGGAATAAGTGTTGGTGTCTGTCCTGTTTGAGGCTGGGGGCAGCACACAGGCTGGAGGAGCTGAGGGATGCTCAGTCTTGCACCCCCTGTGCTGATGTTCCATCTGTACTGTCAGGTCAAAAGCTGGTGCTTTGTTACCTTGGGCATGTGTAAAATAAGCAGAGGGCTGAATGAGGACAGGTAGGCACTGCTCTTGTTTTGGTCAATACTGGTCAATATTAGCTGGAGAAGAAGCAGGCAGTCCTGAGGCAGTCCTCTAGATTCAGGCTAGAAGAACACATTACTTAAAAATTCATTATTTGTTGCTTAGTTTACCAGATATTAGCACCTGAAGAGAAAGAATAGAACTACACAGAAATTCGAAGACAGAAATAACATTAGCAGTTCTCAGAATTTATTCTGGGGAAAAAAAAAATATCAAAAAAAAGATACAGCTTTGGGAAGGCAAGGTGTTTCAAAGGCATCTCAGTGTGCTTGGTTTTGCAATGGTACCAGCAGCTCAGAGTCAGTGCTTTGGAACAGTTTAGGTTCTAGCTCCTGTAAGAAAACCCACTGGCATCTTGTATGTCTGTTGATGCTCTATCATGCATCTTAGATACTGGGCAGCTGCAAGACTGCTATGCAATAGAGGAAACTTTGGAATTGTGTGCTCTGGTAGCTTTCTTGATGGCAATATTTCCAACACACATAATGAGCTGAAGTCTTCCATAGCCAGAGATTCAATTTAACTTTGTGTAGTATTTAACAAGACACTCATAAGATTTTATGAACTTTCTGCCTAGCTGCAATAGGCTACATTTGTGTCTCCACTTTATTTTCTTGATTTTTTCCTAAACTCAACATTTTCTTTTTTTCTTTTTTTCCACTCCACATTTAGATTTTGACATTCCTTACCTTTGGGCAACCCTCATTATGCAAGAAAAAATTAATACTGAAAAAACTAACCTTAGGATGGTTAAAGAAATAACTCTTTTCCCAATGGAAATATCTGAAATTCCTCAGCAATACCATGAGAAACTAATCTTGAATTTGATCTGATTTTACAAGATGATTCATGGTTTCGGACTCAAGAAAAGTAAACTTGTTGATTGTAGTTTAGGTACTTAATCTTTAACAAAAAGACACTATTTATTTCATTGCAATCTCCCTTACCAAAGAGAATCTTGAATCTTTTCCTTCCAGTTTGCCTATGCATTATGAATACAAATGTCTGAGTAAAGTGGAAACTTCATATTTCTTTCCAACCAAGCACAGGAGGCCAGGCAGGACTGGGAGCAGCTCTGCACACTGCAGCGAGCGCATGAAGGGATGGCAAAGCATCCTCTCAGCTGCACTCCCCTGACCCCAGCTTTGGGTTGGCTGTGTTGTTTTTTGTTGCTGTTGCTGCCTGGAATGTTTCTCTGGGTGAGGCTAAAGCACACGCCATAATACAGCATTCCCAGCTTCCATGGAAGGAATGGGGCTGCTTTGATGGTGAGGTTTTCTTGGTGCTCCGTGGGATTTAATCTTCCCACTGGCATCAAATGGAAAGAGACAAGTCAGCCATTGCTCAGCCCGTGTTGGTTTGCACTTCTGCACCCAGATGTCAGTCATCCAATGGGTTTACAGGACGTTTTTCATTAGTATTGCATTTATAGCAACTTATGCAACATCCTCCTCTTCAGGTGTGGATGTGACTTCTGCCTTTTAGAGTGAATGTGGCACAGCAAAGCCATACAACTTCTGCAGCAACAAAAACAAACGTGAAGTGAGCAGACAGCAAGCCCCAGCCTTGCATTTGTTCTGATCCACCCTTGCCCTGCACACTTCCAGCAGACCACTATGTGGGCTCTGAGCTCTTTCTTGGGGCTCTGACTCCTCACAGCTGTGGCATATCATGTGTTCACACCCCCGTGTCACCTGAAAGCATCAAATTCATTTCAGAAGGAATCAAATCCATCCCTCTGTAAGTAGTGGCAGCATCTGCAGTTAGAGCAGCTTAGCTTACATTTCTCCTACATTGAGGAAATTTAAGACAGTAAAAGAGCATATTTTGGCTAGCCTTAATCCTTAGCAGCCTAACGATTTGTACAGCTGCTGATTTCTGAAGGACAGAGGCATCACACAAAGTGTTGGTTCATATCTGTGACAGAAACTTCTTTCCCTGACAGTATTCTCTTTGCTGCATCTTTTTTCCAGATGGGGACTGTTGTTTGTTTGTTTATTATAAATTGTGCCTCAGGAAGAAGTTATTAAAGTTCTTCTTGGTGTATATACATATATTATAGTGGTAGGGGAACTAACAAAGCTAATTTGAGGAAATCCAGGCAGCCAGAGATGTCTGGATTATCCTAAAATATGTCATCCTGATCTCTGCAACAACAGTAAATTTCACAAAACTACATTCAGTTGACAGAAGATATCCAAGGGATAGACATTTCTTTATCTTGGGTTCAAGGATGCTTCAGCCAAAAGGCTTGTTTGAGATTTATTCCAAACTCTGCTTGAATGTAATCTACTTCACCACATATCATCGTCTGACAGAAGGGTTAGCAGTGATTGTCTGTTCTTGCTGCTCTCTCTTGCTATGTTTCTGATGCTCTATGAATGGCGAGTTCAGATGTACGAGGCACCCATCAGCTGTTGCTTTGGTTTCAATGCAAGTCACAGAATAAACACAGAGTGCTTCTAATGGGAGCACTGCACGTTTGGGCCACTCCTTCCAAAGCAGCAGTAGGGATGCAGGTAGATTATTAGAAATGGATAAAGAGATTCTCCTTGGAAGTGAAATTACGGTGGTGCTGTATAATTACCCAAAAATAAAAGCAGAAAACCACTGGGGGAAGGAACAGAAAACTACTGCCCACTTGCTTGCACTAAAAGAACTGAGAATGCTCTCTGAGAAACTTATTTTCTCAAATGCAAAGACCATTAGCAAAAGGCTGCTAGAATGTGTTTTGTAAATGCTGTAGCAACAATGTTTGAAAGAATATCATGCAAAGATGTGCAAGAGGTAGAGGAGCAGCAAACCTGTTCCCTAGAGCTGGGAAGGCAAGTTTTAATTTTAAAGTGAAAATGGAAAATGTCCAAACATGTATAAATATTTTCTTATGTCAGCAACTTGAATAAGCTGTCCGTGGGCATGCTGAGCTGTTTCTGTCTCAGCATTACTCCAGCTAAATCACTGAGTGGATCTGAGGGGTTTTCACCACCCAAATGCAGACTATGGTTTGTCCTTCCAGCTCTGAGCCACCGCTGCTGCTCTGATCCAAAAGGAGGATAAAATATGAGTGGAGCAGACCCTGCTTTGGGCTGTGTTACCTCCCAGCTGGAAAATGGTGCGGCATACCTCGGTCTGAAGACATTTCCACAAGAAAAGATGCATATTTGAGAGGAGAAAGGGGACCTTGAAAAAAAAATACTGCAATTTGGAAAAATACATAAAATTGATCTGAGCATCCATGTGATGGATGGAAATGGGCAGAAGAAGTGAGCTAATAAGGCATGCAATGGAAGAGGCGACAGGTTGCTTGGTAGCTCATTTGAGGAAGTTCTCCTGGTGTATTATGCTCCATAATGGCAGCATGATGAGGGGAGATTGCTGCCAAAGAGGAGGATAGCTAGAGAAGAAAAACAAACAGCAAAAGGATAGGAAATGTGTCAGGCATGAGTTGTGCAGAGGTCAGCAGTGCTGTTGGTGTCATTGCTGGCTGGGCAGTGACAGTGCTGGACAGAGAAAATCACAGCTAGATGGATAATTTTGAGCTAGTTCCTGGAAAGTGGGAGCAGCCCCATCCCAGTGTGCCAACACAGAATTCTTCGTGTATGGCCAAGGGAAGGTCTGGATACAAAACAGGCCATAAAGCTGCATCATACGTCACACCACAAGCTAACAATTGGGCCATGAGAGATAAAAATGGCCATGACTTGGGATAGAAAGGAGATTAGAGCAATGGGAATGCTCCCAGCTCTGCCTACATCGTGCCCTGTGCTGATGGATGGGCTGATGGGATCCCCATCCCCACACTTTCCAACATACATCTGCAAATCCTAAGGAGGGACAAACGCAGACCAGCTGTCAATTGGCCTTGCGGATTTGAGGGCTAACATCCAGTTGGCGGCCAGCAGGTTTTCACACTGCAACAGGAAGCAAACTTCTTGCTGCAATTACCCTCCTATTTCTACTGTTTACCCCAGGAATAAACTAATTGCTGCTGTAAAACACCCCTCCCACCAGGTTCAGGAGAAGCGTATGGAAGAAACGAATGTCAGCCAGTTGGTCAGAGGCCAAATGCCTGGCCAGAGGCCAGCTGGCACCCCTGGCCTTATTCGCAATGGGGGAGGGCTCAAGTGCCTCACTGCCAATAACCTGCCTGGCATTTCTGCCCTACACACACACCAAGTGTCACATCCTAAATCAGTGTTTCCTTGGTAGCTTGTCAGAAACACAAAAACCAGTCCAGGTCTTCATTCTCCCACTGAATAAAGTCAATTTATTTGAGAGTTACACTTGAGATTTAAAAGAGATGTGCAAGCAATCTGAGAAAGGGCTGAGATCATCCCCGCAGGGATGTACAGTGGGCACCTCTCAGTGCTTCAGCCCTAAATGCCAGCTCCCACTGTATCTGTCAAGGCTCTTTTCTTCTCCTAGCAGCCTCACAAAGATGGATGGCACTACAGCCAGGCACAGTGCTGTGCGTCCGGCTGAAACCCAGCAGGAGGATCCTACAGGGCTGCCTCTTAATTGCCACGTACACTATAATCACATCTCTATTTCTGGCTTTCTAAATTCTGCCTGCAGTGGTGAAGCCAGTTTTGGACATTGGGAGTAAATATCACTTGTTTTTCCTTTCAGTGTTGTTGTCCCATCAAAGCAAAATGACAAAAGTCAGTGAGTCACCACGGCGTTTTCAAAATACCCAGGAACAGCATTTGTCCACAAAGGAGAGAAACCTAAACGTAGGAGAGAGGGAGCAGGATCCGATGGGACCTCTTGCAAATTATAGAGGTGGAATATTCCAGGGCAGACAGACAGTGATAAGCAATAAAGCCAACTAGCTCCAGAGCTGAGTTCTGCCTGGTGGATGTTAGCAGTTGCACTGAATCCTGGTTGTCTCCCTAAAACGATGCCTTGTGTCTGTGCTCATAACGATTGCAAGCACCTTAGCCTGAGATTTTTTCTTCATCAGCTGTATATGTTTGCCTTAACAGAAAAAAAAAAGCCCACTATAGAACCTATGTACATTGCTGCAAGACTGTAAAATTTAATAGCAAACAGATTACATACTTAGCAATAGACTAAGCAACAATTAGGTCTCACATTCCTCTCACTCCTATAAATAACTCTCAGTTTCCTCTCCATGTCTGCAGATTTCATTAGTATGATGGAAAGAAAAGAAACACACACACATACACCAAAGCACTGAGCTCCCTTCTCTTGCAGAGCTCAGTGCTGATCTCTTGGTCCAAAGCTCTGTTCAGTCTGAGGGATGGAGTGGAGGAGCTGAATGCCCAACCCCATCGCCTTCAGCCATGTCTTCCTGGCCACAAAGGGAAAATTCTCTGCAGATGGCTTAGGAATTTACCTGCAAGAAACAACAGAAAGAAATTCTCATCCTTTGCTGTGCAATCTGCAGTGTGTGCTGCTGCCCTGGAAGCATCCTCACTGCTGTGTCCTCAGAATCCTCAAAGCTCACAGAAGCAGGGATGTTGGATGATATTTTCATGTCAAATCCATCCTCTGAAATCCTCTGCCCACTTCGCAGTCTCTGCCCACGCTTGAATGGGAAGGGAAATGTCCCCACAGCCCAGATTCACAGCTGTGAATTTCATTCTTGATAAAGGAGATAACTTCTCTACTGATTATTCAAGGCCTGGAGCTCAGTGCAATACTGTGCATCTGCACTGTATCCTCCCTGAGCTGAGAGATATCAAACACAACAAAGGTAACTGCAGGGTGAAGGATTATGGGGTGTAATTCTGGCTTTCTCCATCCATGCACTGTTCTGAAGTGACCTCAGCTTAGTTATGCAGAGAATAAAAGCATAAAAAATTCAAGGGAAAAAATAAAGGAAAAAAATAATAAAGATTAAGCCTAGACAGAACTCTGCAAAGCCTTGGAAACTTGGCTTGATGTAGCCAACACTGAGACTTCAGTTCATAAAACTGGAGATGTTTTCTCAGGTCCTCATGTCTGCAGTGCTGCTGTGCTGCATTGCCTGGCTGTTTGTCCAGGGCTGGTTCACAAGGCTCAGGATCAGGGTGGCAGAGGCACGAGGTGGCCAGGAATAGGTGGGGAGTATGAGGCTACTTGTTACAGGGTAAATGTTCATTGTTAAAACTCTTATCATGTTTTGCAGGGGAAAGATGTGGAGAGCTACACCTGTTAAAGCTCGCTGAGCAAGGCAGAGCTGCCATCTGCATTCTGCCTATGTGGCTCCTGAGCATCCTTCTCACTCCTTCATGAATTGACCAGAGATAAGGGTGAGGGATGGAACTGGGAGAGACTTTTCCCTTGATAGCAGAGATTTTCTTTCTCTATGTTCTCAGCTCACATGCTAGTATCTCAAAGCATGTTGCATAAATAATAAAAGCCATGCAATTGAATGAATTATTTGCTCTTCTTGTAAGAAAAAGCAAGATTTCTTTTTCCTCTCCTTTCCTTCCCACACCCTTCTCCTTTCATCTTTTGTAGAAAAATCCACATAAGAAATGATGGGCAGCCATCCAGGAATAATGAGACAAAGATGATAATGTAAACCTCAGAAGAGAAAGCGCTGGCTATTGCAGTCAGGATTTTTGCATTTGCAGTACTATAGGCAGCCAACAGAAAGAAACACAGCCTGTCAAGCATGTAAAGCAATCCAACTTACATTAAAATAACATGTATCAGCTGGATGCAAGGCATAGACACGCACCCAAGTCTACGTTTAGGTGCTAAAATGTAAGCACCCCAGCTCCCAGGAGAGCTGAGCATCCACAGCTATGTGCAAAAACAGACCCTCCTGAGTTTTTTGGCATCTGTAAACACAAACTGCTCATACAAAGAAGTGGACATAGGACTGCTCATAGAAATAAGTGCCACTCTCAAAAGGGGAGCACTTACCCGGCCACGCTCTGCTGCTCTGCTCTTTCTCTTACGTCAGAATCTCAGCAGCCCCAATTTAAGCCTTGCACTGTTATCTTGCTCTGACTTTATGAATTCCATTAAATTTTTACCAAACTGCAATAATTGCCTGGCTTTTTTTCTGCGTTCAGTTCATTGTTGTTTCAGTCTCCAGTGGCTGGAGAATGCTGAGATGGAAAGATCCAGATGAATCTAAGGAGTTAAAGGCACTAAGAGCCCATTGTTCTATCACCGTGTTTAATGAGTTCTCACCCAATCTATTACTTTGCCTCATCTCTCCACTCCTATCAGCTGAAGAGTAGCACAGTGCGTCTGCAAATCATCAGGTCCCAGCCCTGAAGCCCATAATGAGTTCATCCCAATGCAAAAGACACGTTATCTCTAATGTGCTAAACAGCCAAATTGCTGCGTACCTTCGAAGCAGCGCAAAGTTCCAATCAACAGTTCTGAGGAAATGAATTGCTTGCAAAGCCACACGTTGAACACCGAGCCGTTATTATTAGAATGGGCAGGCAGAGCTGAAGATAAAGTCTGATTCAACACAATGGAAAAATACCGTACAGCGGTTATGCCTGCTAAACAGATAATGCCAAGTTTGATGAGAAAATACTTTGTATTTCTTCTCCTTTGAAATCTGAGTGCGTATTTTCCAGGTCAGTTGGAAAGAAACAGGTTGTGAGATGTCACTCAGCACTTGAGAGGAGACCCTTTTCCAGATGCGCTTACATGAGGCAACAAGCAGCACTCACCAGAATTGTTTCACATTGTAGAAAGTAGTTCAGGACTACACCAAACCAGCTTTGCCATCCAAAGCAAGTATAGAGTGGGGGAAGCATAGAGCTTCCTCCTTGCACTCAGTGAGCATGGAGCAGTGGCAGACAGGGGATGGAGCTCAGCCACGACCCTTTTACACTCATTTCTTTGCCCTGGGGATGAGGATATGTTTTCTATTTTTTAATACACAGTTCTCAAACTGAACCTTACCTCGTTGAAAGGAGCCTTATTCTTTGAGAGGATAATTTTGCACTTGATGTATAAAACACAGAGCAAAAAATGCTGTAGACAAATCTTTCCGTTAAATAAATGGCTTCTTCTGAATAGGTTGTAAAAGTTGGTTTCCTTCATTCTGGATTCAGTTCTCCTCACCTCCTCTGCTGTCTGTGGCTGAGGGACAGAGCTGGGCAGGGATGTGTAGGCTGTTTTCCCACTTTCCGGTCTTCTTACAAATCTGCTGACACCAGCTGTGTGGATGTACTGGCTGAGATCAAGGACACCTCTCAGACAACCCGACCCAGAGCAAGGATTTGCCACAAAGCCCAGGAATTCTGACCAAATTCCCATGGTCCAAGCATAGGGAGTGAGAACTAACCGGTGTGCAATGCAAAAGGCTGAATTCCCCCCGGCTGAAGCCTAGCTGAGAGTGTGCTCACTAATTAACTTGCTTTTATCACAGGTTTTAGGGTGTCCTGGGTAGCAGTTTGTGAGCACAAGCCCTGTTCTGGAAAGCAGAGATGTGAAACACCCGCACAGATGCACCAGCTTTGATTGATCTGTTCCAGTTACAGACTTCACATCAGAAGAAACCCTGCTGACTCCTGCAGCCAGCTCCTCAGCAGCTCTAACATCAGCTTCACTGCTTTTGACAGGCTGAACATCTGCTTTTACTGATGTATCAGCAAGAAAACACTTGTTTCACAGATCTCAAAACACCGTTGTCTTTTAGACAGCAAGGTCCCTCTGCGCTGCAGAACACATACGTACAGTCTCTCCTGTGTCTACAACACAGCCTTTATTTCTTCACCTGATTCCTACTTTGGCTGGACAAAGCCAGGGTGTTTTTGTTTTTTGTTTTGTTTTGTTTTTAATTTCATTTTTGAAAGTTGTCTTTTCACTCATATGCTATGCTCGTGTCTTTTTCAGCTGAGGGTAATTGAATCTCCAGAGCACAACACCAGTATCAGTGTTAAATCTCCCTTGACATATATCCGTTTAACAGAGTTTTATTGAAGTACATTGGTGCTTCACTAGAGCCATGAAAACAGAGCTCCTTGGAAAAAGAAATCTTTCCCAGGAAACTGAAGGTCTATTTTGAGGAGCGCAGAGCAAATGAGGGCAAAGTCCCATTTTGCTGCATATAGGTGGAAAGATGTTTTCACCACATCTGATGTGATGCACAAGGAATGGAAATTCGATTTTTCCCCATCGTGATTGTGGGCCCATGTGGATGATCAGAAAAGAGAAGAAATAATCCATACCCAAATGGAACCAACAGGGTCTTTGAGCTTCCCTTTCTACGTTGACATTGTCTCCAAGGGCTTTCTGAAGGCTCTTGGGTCTCTGGGAGTGCTTTTCCCCTTGTCTGTTCTTGAGAAGCTCAAAGTTCTGTGTCTGGCCAAGAGTCTCTGCAAGACATGGAGAGAAGCAGGAAATCAGGGCTCTTTCTCCAAGAAGAAGACAAACTGCTCTTCTGAAGGACAAGATGCAGGTCACCTAGCAGTAGGCAGCATCAGTGTCCATGTCCTAGGATATCCCAATGGCAATGGCTTGAGTATGTGACACACGGTGTAGCTGTCCCCTCCAGTGAGGACGCTGTGACGTGTTGAGCATATAGATAGCTAAGGAAGGAAAAGCTCTTCCTTGTGAGGGATTAATCTTCTTTTGCCTCAAGCTCTGCAATTGAAACTAGAGAAAATATTACTTTTGTTTTGCTAATCTTCTGTAGGCTAGGTAAAATGTATAATACATTCCATTAAGCTCGAGTTAGTTAATTACCAGATAGGAAATCCAATATTTTCTCACGGTTATTTTCCAGTTGTCATTTTGCAAGAGAATTTTGCTTTGACGTCACTGAGAAACAAAACCCACTCTGTGGACAAAAGAAACCACAAATAGAGGAAAATACATCAATATTGTTTTTCTTGTAGCCTGCCACTTATTGGGTGGATCTTTGTTTTTAATATTGTGAGCCTGCCTCTGGCAAAGCTCCGTTTTCAACTCCAGTGTGTTCAATAATAGGATACAGCTTACGGTGCTGCTCCTGGAGAAGTTTTGAGGATCATGGAAATCTTTTAAGGGATCCCTTCAGGCTACTGCCGATATATTTCAAGGGAAAAACCCCAGTGGGGAAAAAAATAAAATACGTATACTTGTATAAATACATTGTGAAAGTCAAAACCATTGCTTAATTGTTGGGTTATTTTCTTAAATTTTATTGTGTTACCATCGAGGTGTAAATCTGTTCTAAGACCTCCATCAATTACCAGGAATATTAACATTACCAAGATGCACTTCTAAGAACAAGCAGATAATTAGGCTTATCAATACTAATCTGATCAACCACTGAATCTGTTGTCCTGCTTTGGTAACAGCCAGCATTTCGTTTTCAAAGTTCATTATTGCAGCTTGACTCCAGCAAGGTTTCTAACCTACTTAATTACTATCTGGTTTATTTACAAGCAAAACCATACAAGCATCCATCAGGTCAAAGTCTATGGGCGTTTGTTCCAGTACGTGGTGCCTGTTTATGTGCAGAAGTGCTGATGGCAAAAAGTGGCTACAAAAAACATATTCCTTTGGATTCCATGGGGCCAAAGTGGAAGTTAACCAGAAATACCAAAGAAAATGTTTTTTTATTTTTTTTCCCTCTGGAATTTTGTTTTGGAAGAGAACCTGAGGGAAAAAATTCTAACAATGTCAAAATATTCTGTTTTGACTGTTTCAGAACAAGATGTTTAGAGTTTCTTTTTTGCAGCGGCTTTTGTTTTGAATTTTTTTGGTTTTGTTATATTTTCTCCGATATTTTTATATATTAGATATATCACGTTATAGAAATAAAAGTTAGAATGCTAAAATGAGAACGATCGCTTTGATCTAGGGGAAAAAAAAATATCTGGAATCCTCCTTTGGAAAATTTTACTTTGGAGCTTTGCACACACGCTGGTTGGTAATGAACGACTCGACACTGCCTTGGCCTTGGCTTGGAACAGCTACAGCACTTGTCTTATAGCCACAGTAGGACCTAGTAGACAGAAGCACATTTTCTACCATACATCCAGCTTGTGTTAAAAACACTGAGCACTGTTTTTATGAAGGGTAAACTGGGGGGAGAGTGATGAGTATCAATCTCATCCCAACTGCCATTCCCTAACAGATGCCCCCAGACTGAGCAGCAGCAATGCCATGTGATGGTAGAATGGAGGTCTACAGACAGCTCTCAGTACAGGTGTAGTACTTTACCACCCTGTCATTCTGATGCTTGTGATTCAGACCAGGAGGTATTTCCCTCCGAGGGCTGCATCCATGCGTGGTGCATGCAGACAAGAAGGCTGGTGACAACCATGACAACGATGGAGACTGAGCTTAATCCTCTTTTCTCTGGATTTCTCATTGCTCATTATTTTAAGGGTTCAACACTTATTTTGGATATGCAGATTTGATGGCTATGGAGAAAAAAAAAATCAGGACTGGTCAATAGAAAGGAAATTTCATTTGCCATCATCTGCAGCTCTCACTTCACTTCGTTGAAGCACTGGGGGGGCTGGAGGGCGATTCCTTTCTGCAAAGCTGTAGCACAGGGGCAGACTGGAGGCGGTGGCTCATTTTTAAGCTCCCATTGGGTGAACTCTCCCAGCTCCCAGCTCTCATCTTGCATCAGGTCCATCCCACAGCACATTGCAGATCCGTCCGTGCAAGGAGCAGCACCCTTGGCTGCAGCACGGAAATTTGGAAGCTTCTTGCTATAATCTGTGGTTAGGATTTCCAGCCCTGCCAGCAGTGCCGGGAACCAAACCACAGTCTCCTGAGTGCAAAAAGCCTTTGTTGTAATCCGATAAAACCTTAACTTCCAGTCGTCTTCTTTTAATGGTAAATTAAGGGCCTCATTTACTCTACAGTGGCCTCCTCATCCTTTTGTTTAAGCCTCAGTACAAGGGAGGCTGTAGAGCACAGGGAGGGAAAATGCATCCCAGATTCCCCCATCCTCGCAGCTTTGAGGAATACACACACAGAGCTGTTTTCTGAGCATCTCTGCTTTTCAGACAGCACCATGGCACCTTGCTGGGGCACCTGATCACCCAAAACATGGTATGAACCCCAGCTCACCAACAAAAGTGTGTCCAAGTTTCCCTGCTTTGTTTCTTGGAAATGCAATCAGCTCTGAGGTTTAGATTTCCCCCACGCTGGCAAGAGCGAGCTTTTGCCTCAAATGTCTCAACTGGAATCTATCCAGGGAAACTGCACGTTCAGCTGTGTTGGTTGTTCCATGTTAAATGCTCCCACTTGCGGAGCGCTGTCCTCACAGATGGAGACATATTTGTGATAAGTCG